TCCCACCCCAGCACCCCCTCGTTTAATGTCCTCAAGCTGTATATATACCAGGAAATAAACTCATAATCTCCATTCCAATCAATTTCCTGTATAAACAAGACCAAAATGTCCAAACCGTCAAGCACTATTCCCACTCTTCATTTTGGTATGTGTTCTAGCTCACCAGCCCCCACGTCTGTCTTCAGATTCTTACCTCCTTGCCTAACAGGTGCTGAAAAAGTATTTGTCAGCTAAGCAAATGAATGAAAGTAGAGACTTATACTTCTGTACAACTGGCGCCTCCTGCCAGCCTTAACCTAGTATCTTGCACAGAGTAGGTGCTCAAAAACTTTACTGATGGCGATGACACCCGCTTCACATACATTCAGTCTGAAGGAGGCTCTATACCTGACCACCAGATTTATCTTCTCTGTGTCTGCTGAATTTCGCAAGAGGATAGGAAAGGAACTAATTGAATTTGGCTATTTGAATAGCTCTGGTGGGAAACGAGTGTGAAAGGCCAGAAGGAATGAAGGACAGTCACATTCAGAGAGCCTGGGATAAGGTTATATTTTTAAATGAATTCCCCTAGACTCCCATATGTCAAAAAATTTAAATAAAATTGCTTTACTTTCCAAATACTAAATCTATCCTCATTATATAACATATATCTACATTATATAAATGTCTACAATGTATGAGAACAAAATGTATGTGAAATGCATTATGTAGAAGTTTATTTTTGATCTATACTCTCACCAGTGAGTTCGGCCACTGTTTAGATTTTACATATCCTACTTCATCAACTCTAGGATGCAAAGTGGTTTACTTGTTTCCATTGCTATGGCGACTCCTAATTGCTGCAGGCCTCACTGGGCTGGAGTTCTCACCGAGGAGAGCTGTGTTTGCTTTTGTCAGCCATCCAGAGGCACCACCAACCCCAGACTACTTGGAGTTAAATTCTGTGCTTGAGGTTGTTTGGACCACACTGGTGTTCTAAATTCACGATGCATGCTAGCTGGAACCCTTGCTTGTAGTTCAAATTCTTCGGTGAGATTGTTTTTTTTCCCCTCCCTCCACCCAATGACAAAGTTGAGATAAGCAAATTTCCTTGCCTGGCCCTCTGTGCATGGGAGGTTTATTTGCTGCAGTTATATATGAGGTATATTAGACTCCCCATCTCCGACATGTTTTATTCTTAGTGGCATGTGAAAATAATGGCGTGTCTTAGAATATATGATTAATTTAGATTTTTTTTTCTCTATTTACATGTTAAAATCATACTGTATATCAATTTTGTATTCTTTTATCCTTCAACATCAGAGAACTTGACCACTTTGCCATCCTTTTAGAAACTTTTTGTATGCATCATTTTAATGGTTTCCACTGTCTGTATGTTTAAAAATCTACTTAACCATTCTTTCTCTCATTGTTAGACATCAGGCCTTCCCTTTTTCTGTTGTGCCTAATGCGTTAGCTAAATTTCACTCTGAACTAAGACTAGGTACCTATTTAAGTGAGATATCCCCTCTCATCAGGCTCATGGCCTAGCACGGGAGGCAGCTATCAGGCAAGAAATGAAATCTGGAAAGAAGGGTGACAGGCAGGGCCAATGCGACCGGCCACTGCGGTTGCTGACTAGGAGAAGCTGCCAGAGGTGGGAACGCAGGGTTAAACTGTATTTGTGTTCTGAAGGTTCTCGGTTGTTCTGCCAAATTGTAGACTCTCAAGTATGCAAGGGCATCGACTTCATTTCTCTCTTGTCCAAGTTACTTATAGCTGTTTAAAATCTTCTTTGCCAGTTCTTTGGATGAAAATGACATTTTGTTTTAAGATAATGTTTTGTGAGTGATTCTAATCATGGTTTCAAAATATGCGACTTGTGGTTCCTCTTCAGTGCTCTGTCTGTTCGTGATGCCTTTTGCTCATTTATCCTCTAGGGCCTTCATGCTCGTTATCAATTTGCATGATTTCTTTATGCAGTTAGAATATTAATCTTTTGTCTGGCATAAGTTTTGTTAATATCATTTCTGATTTATTGTATGTTTTCAAGGCTGCTTAATTGCATAAAATACAGATGTCCTAAATTTTATACAGTCACACTTATCAATTCTTTTTGTGTTATGCTGCTTTGACATTTAGAAAGTTGGTCCCCACCCAGAAATTTGCTTAACATTCACTTTTATCATCTTCTAGTTATTTATGGATTGATTTTCCACATTTGATCTCTTATTAATCTATTCAATGTTTATATTGATATGTGATATGAAGTGAGACTCTAAAAGATTTTTTATTGAATAACCGATAATTGCTACACCACTTATTGAATAATTCTTTCACGTCCTATAATTTTAATTCCCCTTTAAAGACAGAGAGAGAAAAAAATAGAGAGAAACAGATCTCATTCTGTGGCTGCAGGGCTGGCCTTGGAGTAGGTCACATGGGCAACCCATTACCTGCTCTAATTCTAGAGAACCTGGGAATGGCCACATGCCATATAAATTCTCCCAATTGTGGCTAATAGAGAAAAGACCAGACTCATGTGTCTATACCATAGTTTTACAATATCTGCTCCTTGAAATGTGGGTAGTACATCAACAGTCTCTAAATTATTGGGGTGTCTGGTTAGAGCTCCGTTCCTGTTCTAAGAAGAATACTATGTCTCGGGAGTGAACAAGGAATGTGTGTTGATTTATAACAGCCACTTAGATGAATATCCTCTTGTCCTAGCAAATGGGACACTTTGGCAAGAGAAGCAATTCATTAGAATCTGATTTATTCATTATATAGATTTATAGTAGATTTAAAATTAATAGATTAATCTAGGGATTTTTACTAATGGCGCTGAAGTGTTCCTGGGGGAAAGGAGATGTTATCAGAGACTTGATTTAAAATACTCCAGTGCCCACCAAACGGGTGTTATATATGTGGCAGATATAAGTAAAACAAAACTGTAAAGGTGCCCATTATTTTTGAAGCCAGGCTATCGGTACATCGGGACTCATTATATTGTCTCTACTTTTTGTATGTTTGAACATTTCCATAAGGAAAAACCAAAACAACAAGTAGGAAAGTATTAATGATAGATTCCTGGGCTTTAAAATGACCTGCCCACCATCTATGCTTGGAATTCTGTTCTCCTGGCAATCCTACTCAGTAGATACAGATATACAAGCACTTTGAAATGAGAAACATGAGAGTTGAATATAAAGTATTGTGAATTATTTCTATGATTATCCCTCGATTCCCTGCAACCGACAGGTGTCTGCTTCTGTGCGCTCTCTTGGGGAGTGGAGCCAGGAGATCGAGAAGGTCCTGTCCAAGGCTCCTGGTTTGCTGACCATCCTTGTCATAGGAAAGGAGCTGTCAGAAGCCAGGAGTGCCTGAGACCCCTGCTGCAGTGGGTCACACCCTGGGCAGCTGCCCAGTGTCACCGCTGCTGATGGATTTGTCCAGGGAGCTGGTGATGAACATCTCTGTCTGCTTTTCTCTAAATGACCGCAAATGTTCCCCTGAGGGGTTGGAACAATGCCTCCGGTTGTGAAGAGAGACAGAGCAGGATAAGGACAAGAAAGAATACGGGTTTGGAGGGGGCAGCGACCTCAGAAATATCGCCTAGTCCTCCCGTTTCCTCAGAAGTGATTCCTCCGCCTGTTGATGAGGCCCCAGGCCCTGTAACTGATTGCTGCATCGGCGCCTCGACAGGGTGCATCTGTGATAGAGATCAACTTTTCTTCTCTACCCCCTGGGATTTTCCTCAAGTTTATCTCTGGTCTTCAGAGTTCAGGCACAACAGTCTGGAAACCAAGAGAGTCGCTTTCAGCCTAAGCCCTCTTCAAGTCTGCACTTCCTGTCCTGGACTCTTGCCAGCTTCCCGAAAACCTGCCAGTAAAAATGTCTATTTCTTGCTTGGGAAACCAGACCTCCCAGCGCTTCCCAGTGGGGCTGTCCCAGCACACACACCATAATCCAGCATCAGTATGTCTCAGAGTCTGAGTGACTCGATCTTAATTCGGTCTTCAGTAAATAATGTGGGAGAGCTTGCTTTGGCTTGTCCAAGTTTTTACGAAGCTCCCTCCTGACGGAGGGGACAATCAGGCCAGCGTGTCCTTCCTGAGAGCGAGACTGTCAAACAAACATCTTCTTTTCTGTGGTCTTAGCTTTACTTTTGCAAAGGAATAATCTTCCCTGAAGGTGAATACAAGTTTCTATCTCTTGCAAAACTGATTTGAAAGACAGATTTTCCTGCTTCTATTCTTTTTCTCACTATTTCAAAGGCCTCAGAGCTTTTCTGTCACTCAGCGGTGTCTGCAGGAGGAGCGCGTCCCCCCAAGGACATGGTTTAGGGAACTCAGCCCAGAGAGGCTGAGCGGGCTTCCTCCTCACACATCGCACGCCTGGGAGTATTTCTTTCTCCAGGTGCAGCAACCTGATACAGTAACAGAAATATCCAAACTTTAAAATGCCAAAAACTGAGTATTTTAAACAAAACTACTATACATTCATTGTATTGCCCCAAGTCCATTGAAAAACAATTTCTGGAACACCTATTATGTGTCAAGCATTAAGGGGAGAAATCCACCCCTTTTCCTCTTATGAACATAGATTACTTGGATTCCCTTTCTGAAACTTCCTCTCAACTACAATGTGACACTTTTTGCCTGGGATGGATGCCTGTGGTATTAACACACACTGAGGCAAAGGAGGAATTTTCCATAATGTGAAGAGCCTGAGAACAAAGAAAAGAGCGAAACGTGATACAAAAATAGTGCAGTGGTGGGGCCACCAGGAACCAGGGATCCCTGGGCCCTCACGGTCGGCAACTGCCCCGTTCTCATTATTCTATTTTCCAAAATGGGAGTATCTCTTTAATACGTGTTATTAGTCCCTTCTTATTCTAAAGACCTAGCCACAATCATCCTCTGAGTTGACAAGACATGAAAGGTAAACGGTGCAAGTTTCTAATAGAGTCACCGCTGCGAACATGAGATGTAAGCCATCACGAGGTGCAGGCGCCTCCCTAGGTAAACAGTGTAGTCATAAACAAGGGTAATTGAGAATTCTGGCAAGGCGGAGAAGAAAGGCAGAGGGTGATGTTCAAAACCCACCTGGTCTACCTGGGTAACACCCAGTAAACCAGCCCCTGTGCCCGCCTGCAGCCTCATGGTGCCCTCGGTGTGTCGGATTAGTCCTACCCGGCTGGTGAGCAGAGCCAGCCTCCTGCTGGCCAGGAGAAGCGAGAATGACTGGCCTTAACCGATCAACATCAAGGCAGTAGGGAAGGGCCTGCTGAATTATAAACAAGAAACCCACTCTGAAGCCGAGAATCTCAGTTAACAATCATTTCTTTACTGGTAAGCTTTGAGTCCTCCTTTCTCTATTGGTGACTTTCATCGGCCCCTGTGGGAGGCGAATCTGACAGAGGGGAGCAGTGAGCTATTGCATGCCATGAGCACTATTTTATCTCCTGTTGAATGATTTTGGAAAGCTCCTATGGGTGGGAGGAAGCAAGGAATGGCAAAAGGATTGGGTGGGGTGCACATCTACAAAAAGATGGAG